AGGTCAGACTCTGCCGGATTTACTCCACACTTGCCACTAGGCCACGTCCTCCTGGTTTACCCCCGACACTTCCCCAGACCCGGGGCGTTACCGAATGCAGACTTGGACTCAGTATACCTCTTTGCCACTGTGTTTGGCTTGCACGTCCTCATTAATAATCCCTTTGCACATAGCTAGCACCTTCCAGCTAAGCTTCTCCAATCTTTACAGGGAGCTAAATCGGTGAGGTTTGCTGGTAGCATGATTCCCGTCTCACAGATGGGGAAACCGAGGCACGGGGCTGCCCAGTGACTTGCACTAAGATCAAGTCACGAGACTCTGGCGCCATTTTCTGGAAACCCAGAAGCCGAAGTCAAAACTCTCTGGAGCCTTGGCGCACAGCTGGCTGCTTTGCAGAGCGGCACTCAGCTGTGGCCAGACCATAGCTCAAAGCGGAACTGGCTCCTGGCACACAGACATGACGAGCAAAACCTCTGTTCCCTTCACCGCTGGGGTGTTAACGAGCCTTTGCAAAAGGAATCAATCGCAAGTGAGTGATTGTTCCTACGGGACCCTGGGGAGGGCTGGTCATTGCAGTGCTGGGGCCAGACTTAGAATCCTAGTATCTTAGAACTGGAAGGGACTTCGAGAAATCATCGAGTCCAGTCTCCTGCCCTCACGGCAGATCATCCCTGAGAGAAGTCTATGCAACCTGCTCTTAAATATCTCTGGTGATGGTGATTCCATAACCCCTCTAGGCAAGTTAGCTCAGTATTTAACCACCCAGACAGTCAGGAACTTTTTCCTGATGTCCAACCTAAACCTCCCTTGTTGCAATTTAAGCCCAATGCTTCTTGTTCTAATCCCAGAGGCCAAGGAGAACAATTTTTCTCCCTCCTCCTTGTAACACCCTTTTAGGTGCTTGAAAGCTGCTCCCATGTCTCCTCTCAGTCGTCTCTTTTCCAGACTAAACAAGCCCAATTCCTTCAGCCTTCCCTCCTAGCTCATGTTTTCTAGACCTCGAATCATTTTTGTTGCTCTTCTCTGGACCTTCTCCAGCGTCTCCGCATCTTTCTTGAAATGCGGGGCCCAGAACTGGACACAAGACTCCAGCTGAGGCCTAACCAGCGCCGAGGAGAGCGGAAAAATGACTTCTCGTGTCTTGCTCACCACACTCCTGTTAATGCAGACCAGGATGGTGTTTGCTTTTTTTTTTCCTGCCACAGGGTCCGGCGAAGACTTCTTGTTGTTGGGTTCCTAGTTTGGATCCCAACCAACATTGTACAGATCAAAGTGTCCCACAAGTCTTGTGGCTACAGACAAGTGTCTCCTGAGTGTTAGAGAAATAAGTCGGCATCTCAGGTCGGTTCCTGGGAGAGGAATCACAGCTGATCGTCTCTACGGGGGCAGATATTAAGGGGTGCGATTTCTTAGCTACGCCGCCGTTCGTACTCTCCCCTGGCAAGCTGAATTTGTGCCCTTATTTTTGCCCCCCTGAATGATTTTTTAGGGAGGTGAGAAGCCAGGGACTTGCACCTCACGGAGCAGCCTCCGATTGAGAGGCAGCCAGAGAGGGGTAAATACATTTAGCCCCCACTGCTCTTGCGCTGGCTCAGAGATTCTGGCCCAACACATGACAGGGACAGCTTCTGCCTGCAAATATGGGGTGATATTTTCCACCAGGCACCCTGCTGGGGCCAGGTTCTGACCTCAGTGACACCTGTCCCTGCAGCAGGGGAGTAGAATTTACCACCATGGGACAGCGAGGAGAGTTTCAGCCCTTGGGAGCTTCAGTGTGAGCATCCATTTTTTGCTGTCGCTTTCGGTTCAGCCTCTTTGCACCCTGGAGAGACACTCCGGACCGGCAGGTGGTGGGAGACAGACAGAGACCTTCCTTCCCGAGGCAGGTGTCCTGAATCTCCGTTCAGTCCGTTTAGGCTTGAATAAAGATCTGAACTGGTTAACACACTACAAATGCCATGTCCCTGCCTTTGATATTCACATTTTCACATCCTGAATGAGACTAATCCAGCCTGGCTTAATTAGCTTGAAATTGTGAATTAGCTTAATTAATTTGATGTGATGAAGGCCAGGACTTTACAAGCCTGTAGTCTAGACGTACCCCAGGGGTGTGTCTAGACTACAGGGTTTTGTCGACAAAAGTGGACTTCTGTCGACAAAACTATTCCCCTGCGTCCACACTGCCACTGCGTCCGCACTGTCACAGAACTCAGCAGTTTTGTCGATGGCTGAAGGCCAGGACTTTAACACGGTTCGAAAAAGAGCTAGATAAATTCATGGAGATTAGGCCCATCAATGGCTATTAGCCAGGATGGGTAGGAATGGTGCCCCCAGCCTCTCTTTGTCAGAGGCTGGAAATGGACGACAGGAGACGGATTACTGGATGCTTCCCTGTTCTGTTCCCTCCCTTTGGGGCGTCTGGCATTGGCCACTGTTGGCAGACAGGATACTGGGCTAGATGGACCTTTGGTCCGACCCAGTACGGCCGTTCTTATGTTCTTACAGCTTGATTACACTGGTCCTACAATTAACAGGTAACTTCTGATGATGTTATATATACCCTGGGTTATGTCTAGACTCCAGGCTTTTGTCGACAGAAGTTTTGCCGACAGATACTGTCGACAAATCTTCTGTCGACAAAGAGCGTCTAGACAACAGCCAGTTCTGTCGACAAAGCAAGGCTCTTTGTCGACATGAGCGTATAGACGCAAAAGGCAGTGTAGATGCAATAACGTCTTCTGTCGCCAGAACTTTTGTCGACAAAAAGTCCACTTTTGTCAACAAAACCCTGTCGTCTAGACTCTAGACACACCCCTGGGGTACATCTAGACTACAGGCTTTTGTCAACAGGGGTGTGTCTAAACTACATGGCTCCGTCGATGGAGCCACACCGATTAGGCTGATCGGCAAAGGGAAATGAAGCCGCGATTTAAATAATCGCGGCTTAATTTAAATTTAAATGGCTGCCGCGCTGAGCCGACAAACAGCTGATCAGCTGTTTGTCGGCTC